GGTGGGTTTAGGACAAAACCAAAAAGCAAGCGTTCATTTAGATAAACTGCAGAACTGTGGTATGAACACTGCCACACTCTTTTCAACACGGGCAGCAAAGGACTTTATATTCACTATTAAAAACAAACAAAAAAAACCTTCCACAGGCCTTGCTGACAGCATCAGCAGTGTGTGATCTGAACAACTAGGCAGACACAGCTATCCTGCACACCCTCTAGGACCACTTCTGAGATGGACTTGCATTGTTCTGCTTGCCCCACTGCTCCCTCCCCAGGAGCTGAGACTTTCCAGAAAGACATTTGGGATATGGCTGAAGAAGTGTTTCTCTACATGTCTCTCATAAACACAGATCATGAAAACTTTTGGGGTTGGCTGAGGAAATTTTCTGCTGGTTCAACTGTGGTCTCAGGCAGATGGAGACTGCCAATCCCAGAGAGGGACTGGGTGCAGAGAGACTGCTGCATTGGCATCGTCAGTCAGCATTTGGGCGCTGAGTCATGTGGTTTGGGTGCTGAGTCATGCCTGCTTGAGTTGCCCCTTCCTGGGCCTGCTGGCACAGGGAACCTCTGTGCAGCCCCATGGTATGTGTGCCTCCTTTGGTGCCTGCAGCTGCCAGAGCCTGAACAGCCAGGCCAGCTAAACCATGTGCTCCCACACTTGCTCTTGTGGCCCCCTGGGAGGGCAAAGGGGCACCACCAGCTCCAGGCTAAAACACTTCAATCTCTTCCAGTCTGAACTGAGGCTTTATTTTTTTCCAAGAGCATCTGCTGCATTGGCCACTTCCTCTGACATTTCCTCAGTAATATCCCTGTGACCTCAAAAACTCCCAGCAAACACCCTGCCTGTGGGCTGTGTGCCTGTTCCTAGTGAGCCCACAGCCACATCACCAAGGGATAAACCCCAAAGTGTCTTTTTCCTACCCCCACCCCTCCTCCTGTTTATCTGTCTCTAAAGCACAGGTGAAATTTGGGCAAGTTAAATGCGCTGTAAAATCTCTGGTATTCTGGGTGGAGGAGATAAGAGGCCTGGCTTTAATCATCTCTTTGTTCAGGCAGCAGCAGGTCTGCCACAGCCATCTCCAGCTCTTTTCTGCCCATGCCGGATGGAAGAATGGCAATTTCTGCTTGGAAACATGGCAAAGGAAAACACCACGTCTTGAAAAGCCTGAAACTGATTGTAGGAGCGGGGACCAGCATCCCAGCATTTCCCTCCTGGCATCCGTTCCTTTGCACTATTTCTATATAATGAGCACCCTGAGAGCAATCCTGCTATTTGCATATTTTCTTGGAGCCTTTAATCTTCATCCAAATCAGCCTTTCCCCCCTTTGTCTGAATGCACTCAGTCAGGGAATGCCCCTGCAGCATCCCATAGGATGGACATACACCAGAGCATTAACCAAGCTAAGCGTCTTCCTGCCAGGCATCTCAAGCACGTGGGCAACCACACAGGTCCTCTGAAAGCCTGTGTTGAGCACAGGGAAACTGAGGCACAGAAGGGCTGAGACACATCACTGCCAGTCCACTGTTTCCCAGGTTCCTACTACAAAAAAAGCATGCTGACCCAAGGATAAGGTGAACCATCAGAGGTTCTCCCTGAGGGTAGAACTGAACCTGATACAGATGTGGATTCTCAACATAGTTGAGACTGACTGGTCAGGAAGAAGAGCTGATTAAGTGCATCAGCTGGAAGCACCAGGCTTCCTATTGAACCTTGGGAGTACGATCTGGTGCAGAAGAAGATTTTTCGCATAAGGCTCAGCGGAGGAATTGATCAGTTCAAATCGAAAGACAAATGTTTGAGAGAGCATACCAGAAAGGTTAGCAAAGACCTTTCTGAGCTGCGTGCGCTGATTTCACATCCCCGGGGGGCTGCTGTTTCCTGACTAAAGATCATGTAGCCAACACATGTTAGAAATCAAGCCAGCGAGAACAAGGCTGTGGCTTGCCTTAAAGGAGCAGTCTCACAAAACTGAGAACTGGATCTGAATCTCTGCTCCAGAAGGTACAAACCAGGAAGGAATGAATGCCCTGGCTAATCCAGCTCAAGAGGAATCCAGTATAGCCTAACCCAGTGGATCCTGATTGTACTATCACCTCCATAAAAACTGGGAAAATCACATTACTAAATTGTGCATTCAGCCATCATACCTGAAGCAAAGCCAAAGAGAATCTAAGTTGCAGACTGTAAAACTCACACAGCTCACATCCCTATGCAGGCAATATCTGCCTAGTTTCCCCTATTCCAGCACTTTGGTGATGATGCAAGGCCGCAGCAAAACACTCTCTCCCACTTTCCTGCACTGGTTCTGCATCACTGAGTGCTGAGGAAACAGCTTTCCAGGCTCAACTGGCCCAGTTCTCCTAGTGCACGGACCAGGAAATATTAGAAGTGAAAAACAACTCTGCAGCCAGTCCCAGGAGGCATTTTTTTTATCTGGCTCCCAGCCAATTTTCTTTTTACAGTCCAAGTGCTGGTCCTGCCCTCACTCAGGCTTGGCTGCTTTGCAAACCTCCCATCTCCACGGAACAGAGATGAGCTACTGAGCGCTTGCAGCTCCAGGCATCCTGCTGCTCACTAGCAGAGCCCAGGTGGGCCCTTTCCCCACTGTATGGAGAAGCAAGTGGACCAGGAGCACAGCACATGGATGAGTGCTACCCAAGCTGCTTCTGCATATGCATCCACATTCCAAATTGCAAATGCTTTTGGCCCCTCTAGCCCGTGTCCACCACCAGTTACTGATCCATTTCTCATTTTCCCCTTCCCAACACATGCCAGGGCAGGACAGTGCCGTACCAGTGCCTGAGCAGAGCAGCAGCCTCTCAAGGCTTAAGGCACCATGTCATGCACTGAGCCAACGGAAACCACCCAGTCACTTGACAGATGCTTTTGGCTGGATGATCCCCCAGTCTCAGTAGTATTTTCCTGATACAAGGAGAAGGGGCAGCATTTCCTCCCCATGTCCCTACAACACAGATCACCAGGAATTCAGCAACCATTTCCCACAGAAAGAGTGGATGCTGGGAAAGGGTGGTAGAGATCTTCACACAGAAAATGAGTGATTAGATCAGTGATCTGAAAACATTTGTACTGAGCTTGCATTATTCAAGGCTCAGCAAACACTTTTATAAAAGCAATAAGAGCAGATAACGTGACCCACTTCTCCATGTCTGGGAAGCCATAACTACTACTCATGTGGCTGCTCTGTGTGCAGTACATATCAGAAGCCCAGAGAAGCCTGACATATCTGGCACTGCTGAAGGAATTCTGCAAATGCATGCACACCTAAGTCTTCAGGCTATGAAAGCACTGAGATTATGAACCCACCATCACCACCATGGGAAAGCAAACATGGATGGGGGGAGACCTGTGAAGGAAACCTTCTCAAAACTACTCCTGGGGTACATGCCCTGCAACTCAGTCCACAGAACAAGGGTCAGGAGGTACGATGAAGGACCCTCCAAATCTGGCCAGGAGCTCCAGTGCTCCACGAACAAGCTCCAGTGCTCCATTTGTACACAGAAAGAAGAATGCACAAGCGAAGTAGGACTGCAAGGATGTTTGAGAAGTTCTAGTTCAAGCTCCTGTCCTGGCATCTGAAGGAAAGGACAACTCCTGTACCTCCCTAGCTGATCCCAAGGCAATTGTGGAGCTGCTGCTTCACCCCCAGGCATACAAAGAAAGCAAAGCAGCCACGATGACTTGTAAAAAGATATAATAGAACTGCTCCTTTGTTTTAAAAAGGTGGTTGCTGTGAATAGTTCCCTCTTTCTGCATCCCAACCAGCAGCTCCCTGGGGGAAATCTGTCTGCAGAAAGCCAGAGCTTTTGGGATTCAATGTAAGATACAGTGCATACAGTGCCACTTTTGGCAGGCAGGATATAAAATGGGACAAGTTCCTTTCCTAAGCAAAAAAAAGCCAAAACAACCACCATTCATGGTGTGAGAGCCCTGAAGAAGCAAGGCACTGGTGTGCTGGCTCTCCCCAACAGCTCTCCTCACTCCAGAGGTGCGGGGCTCCTCTCCCCTGCTGTGGCTTCAGCACTGGCTGTGGCCCTGCCTCCATCAGGGGCCGCACCAGGGGCCCCTCCTGCTCACAGTCGGCCCCTCATTTTGCTATAAATCATAAAGTTTACCCCAGGGTACCACTTGGGGTTACTGGAGCTGTCTGTGGGTTTGGCCTGGGGCCAGCCCACAGTTTTCCCACATCCCATCCTTAGAGAAGAGACAAGGGCTTGGGGAGAACTATAGTATTTGTGTATGAAGATCTCACTTCCATTGCAGGGGTAAAAACACTACAGACTGCAGTCACCCGAGCACAAAGCAGCGACTGGCAGTCATCAGGCAGCAATCCTCCTCCAGGTTTTCTGTTTGCTTTCCAAACAACTCAACATCCCCACTTCAGGAGGACAGGGAACACTGCTCACCAGCAGAGCACAGCCTTGGGGTCAGCAGTCAGCTATCAGAGAACAACCAAACGCTGCTTCCAACCAGATGCTTTTCCAGCACCCGGGCCCAGGATGGTTTCTTAGCGGTGGGCAGTGGAATGAGCCCCGGGAAAGACTCACAGCAATCAATACCTTTCTGCAAACATTAGCTTCTGGGGAGACCCGCTGAACCCTGGCAGACATCCCCGGCACCCCATAGTCTGCATCACCCAAATCATTGGCCCAGCCAACCCCGAGACCTCCCGTTCCCAGCCCAGACAGCGCAGGGACTCTCCACTGCCTGCAGCAGAGCGTCCCCAAGCCCTGCACCTCCACCACCCTGCCAGCCTCGTGCGGCTCACAAAGGACACACCGCCCCACTCTCGCAGCGCACGAACGTCCACCGCCGCTCTCCTGCCGCGCAGGAGGAGGTGCGGGACAGACCCCACCCCCGAGGCCACGCTCGACCCAAAGCCCGAGGACCACCCCCACTCCCACCCGAGGCCGCCTCCATCCGTGTCTCCGCCCCTCCCCGGTCCGTCCCGCCGGAGCTGCGGGCAATTCGGAGCGGGGGGAGCGACGGCCCGGCCATGGCCCCGCAGCAGCCCAGCGCCGGGCAGTACCTGCGCTCCGACAGCGGCGGCTCGGCCACCCGCATGCTGGGGGACGGTCCGGGCACCGATCCCGGGGAGTTGCGGGAGAGGCGGCGGCGATGCGGGCCGCTCTGGGGCAGCGTGGCCGTCATGGCCATCCTCGCCCTGCAGATCGCCTCCACCACCGGGCTCTTTGTCTACTTCACCATGGCCATCTCCAAGGTGAGCGCGGCGCGGGTCCTCGAGGGCGGTTGGGCGAGGGCTGCACCCCGGGAGCGCCCGAGCCGCGGCTTCGCTCCCGGCGTGGGACGGCGCTCGGCGCTGGGGATCGGGGCTCCTCCGCGGATCCCTCTGTGCGCAAGGCGAGCCCTTGTCCTGGGCGGCGGGTGCCGACGGAGCTGCTCTCTGCCTGCGGGTAACCTGAGGATGCGGGTCCGGGCTGGGGCCAGGGAAGGGTCTGCACGGACGCCCTTTGGTCCCTGTGCCCTGCCCTGTGCTTCTCATCCCACACACACTCCAGGACTTCTGCAGACGCTGCAGCCTTCTTTCTCTCTTTGTGAGGCTGGGGGAACCCCACACCTGGAGCTCTCAGGCGCTTCGTCCTATTGAATGGCGCCCAGTAGAGGGGTGCAGCCTCTCTGGCTTGCCCTTGGCATTGCTCCTGCCAAGCTGTTCCTGATCTCAGCTCCCATGGACTAAGTGTTGCAACCAAATCCTGCCATTGACAGCTGCACCACTGCTGCCCGATGGGCATCAGCAGCCAGAGAGCTTCCCAGGGCCCCTTGACCACCCTCACACAGGCACTGCCCTTGTAACAACAAACTGCAGAGGATGGCCCTGGTCCTACAAGCCCCGCATACGCACACTGCTGCCCCTGCTATGGCAGATCCACAGTGGTCCCCCAGCAGTGGAAGGGTCAAACACCAAACAGGAGACATGGAAAACCAAAGGACTACCAGGCAGCTCTGATGAGGGAGGGCCCATCAGTAGAAGGGCACGGGAATGCCAAACTTCGCACAAAACCACAGCAGAGGTGAGAAATTGGACAAAGCCCCATCCCTGGGTGCAGGAGGAACGGTCTGTCCGCTGACTGCTTCAGTATCCTTCAGAGCATACTCCAGCCTCCACATTTTCTTTCCTCCCCTGGATCTCCTGTGGCACCCACTACAAGGGATTTACATGAGAGGTATCAGCAGGAGAACGGAAATGTGGGCAGACAGAGCCTCAGGGAAGGGCTAAAGGAAGAAGGCAGTTTACACTGATTTACATCTTTGGAATAACTTCTGGAGTCTCTCACTGGATCCCAACATGGGAACAGTTCTGCTGGTAGCACTCAGAACTCAGCATCCCGAGGGCACAGAATCACTTGCCTTGGCCAACCTCCCTCACCCAGAACACATGCACACCCAGTCTGCCCTCCCGTCTTACAGAAGTTTCTCCTATTTTTCATTTAATTTAAGGGGAGACAGACAAGGTAGGGACTGCAATTATCCTGTACAGTGAGAGGTGCTGGTGGCACATGCAGCCTATCACAGTGAGCCTTAATCAAGGCAATTAGCAGAGCCAGTCAACTGGTAGTCAACTGGTGGCCAGAGGGGTATGGTTGCAGTGCTCATTATTATGCTGGGACTGTGCCACCACATCACCAGGGCTGACCCTGATTATATGTGCCTACACCACAGTTAGTGCTGCTGGCAGCACAAAGGAGCTGGCTGCACACACTGGCTCTGCCCAAGCATGCATTGTGTTGGAGAGTTTCATGCGAGCAGCCTCATCACTTGGGGATTTACAACAGGCACTGTGCTTCCACCCACTCAGACAAGCATGTCTTTGCAAGGCTGGCAGCTCTGCCACCTAAACCCACCCCAGGTGAACCCCTGCGAGGGCTGTGCTTACCCGCCTGCTGTGCCTGTGCCACAGCACAGCACTGCAACCCATCTCCCACCCACTGTGCTCCTGGTAAACCCAGCCCCAAAGCACACACACACACAAAAAGTGAGAGAAAAGAAGAAGAATTTTTATCTCACCTCAAATAGTCTTTGGGCTGATTCCAGAATCTCCACTGATTGGGGGCAGGAGGCAGGCAGACATCTGGTGGAAGCTGCAGGCTGACTGGAGGAAGCACAGGATGCTGGTGGGACTGCCAGAGTGTCCAAGGGCTGCTGGGTTGGCTCCCTGATCTGGGAACAACCCAGGTGGTGCAAGCAGGCTGGTCCAGGTGCCTGCACTGGTTCCCAGCTTCTGAGTGGCAATTTCAGGGCAGCTGTCCCATCTGGGCCCTGGTTTTCCCACAGCCAGCTGTGTCCATCATCCAGGCAGCAGCTGTGCAGAATTAGGCCAGGTCAACCTAAAGACACGCTGGCGAGGCATAGTTCACTATGCAGCAGCCCACATCACTTGGAAGGAAGGCTTCCTTCCCCCAGCCACAATACAGCACAGATTACAGAGTGTTTGAGCTCTGTCTGGGCTGATCCAGTACTTGGGGTCTGGTCTCCAGCCAGTATTGCTTGGCCCTGGGAGGGAAGAGATGTGTGAGAGCTTAGTTTACAACAGGATCAACAGCAGTAAATTACAGAGCCTCATCACCATATAGCAGCCATGGAACAGGCTGCTGCATGCTTCCAGCATGGAGCTGGTATTCTTACCTCTCTGCACAGCCCCTGAATGGGCTAAGGACATGTGGAGCCAAGCACTGCAACCCCTTCCCCAGAGTCTGTGAATATCTTCTTCACAGCTAAGGCTGGGTCATGCTTGCTTCCCCATTGTCACAGCAGGAGAGGTGAAGGAGATGGAGAAAAGGAAATTTCAGTACCTCTCCTTTACCTGGTGCTCTGCAGCTTGCAAGAATCTATGTCTTCCACTCATGCTCAGCACTGAGACTCAATGAAAGGAGCTGTCACATTTCTATAACCGCTGATATGAGCAAGCTTTTGCCAGTCATGGGGATCATAGGAGGACAAGGAGGATTCAACCCATTCAATTTACAGAACAGGTTTTGGACAGAGCTTGGGACACACTCAGCTCTCTGCCAACTGATTCCTTTCCAGAAGAGCAGCTTCAGTCCACATTTGTGTCCTGATGGTACCTGCCCATCCCACCATCAGCTTTGTGCCCAGAGAAGTGCTGGGTTATGCTCTATTCCATGGTGTGTCTGTGGGCATCCTGACACAGCAAGAGCCAGACCAAAGGCAGCTGACGTGGGCATGCACCCTGCAGGGATCACCACTGTGCCCAGCCAAGTCATGTGCACTGCTTTACCCTGCTCTGTCCAGTCTGTGAACATCAAAGTGTTTCCATTCCAGCTCAAAGCTCAGTCGCAGGGCAGCTCGGAGGAACTGAGGTGTCTGCAGCTTATCAATCAGCAGCAGGAAGGCTCCAACTTGGAAGAGCTGATCAGCAACCAGTCTTGCCTCAAGCTGGCCAACACCATCAAAGCCTACGTGGCCACGGTGAGCCTGGGGCTGCTGGCTGCAGGGCTGGGGAGGGTGGAATACATGAAAGGAGAGCTCCCATTTGCCTGCCTGCCTCAGTTTCCCCATCCGCTTCAGCGGTGGGTGACAGAGGCTCAATCCAAGCGGGACTGCATGCCAAACCCTCTGCACAGAGGAGATGGTAAAGTCCAGAGGCATAGCATGAAAGAACATATTGAAAGCTTGGAAGGATGAGAGGAGCTGGGGGCAGGGAACAGCCTTTGCATCTTTAAACCATGGGGTTGTTTTTCTTCTCTAATGGTTCAGGTGACAGAGAACGCTATCAGCAGAAGCGTGGTGAATGGTGAGTGCATCCCTCTGAGCACTGGGGCAGGAGTTGGGGTTCCACTCACGGGGAACCTTTGCTGCATGGTGTCACAGGTCACTGAGCTGCACTGTGGGCTGAGCCATGTCCGCGTGCAATGGCTCAGCATGGGGCTAGGACTGCCAGCAGGTCAAGGGTGATCGGCCGCTCCCAGGGCAAACTCCTCTGGCACAGCACTGTGAGCTGGGCGGGAGGGCAGACTGCCCCACCGGGTTGGAGGGATGTTATGTCTGCTGGATTGGAGACTGGGGAACCCGTCTACCCAGGAAGCAGCACAGAGTTGTTAGATAATAATTGACTACACAGTCACACCAAGTGAACTCCCCCTGTGTAGGGTCAGTGAGGCGTTCTGCTGCCTCGTTCTCTCTAGTTGCTAAGTAAGGACATGCCAGAATTGGTCTGCAGGTCCCTACACACTCTGCCTCCTAAATCCATTTGTCCCTTTCTTTGCAGAGGCCCAGAGGAGCTACTTCAACAGCTCAGAGGGACAGGTTGCTACCAAAACACTCGGCAAACCCTCAGCACATCTCACCCTCCGCCCACAGAGCCCGGCCCAGGATGGTGAGCCAGGAGACGCCAGCAGGGAGCTGGAGGGGCTTCTGGGGTGGGGGCGGGGAAAGATCATAGAATCATAGATCTCCCCCAGAGATCTTCACCTGAGAGCTGAGCATGGGAAGTTGCATTTTCCAGCAGATAGAAAGATGCTTGTCCTTTCTGGTCCAAGACCACCCTCCCCACCCCACCTCCAAGCTGGATGGTTGTAGGAGCACGATGGGGCCACCCCTACTGGCCCTGAATTGATGCCCTCAGTGCAGTACACTCCCTTAATCACCCTGCCTTCTCCTCAGGAAGCTCCAGATGCTTTGGGAACCTCTCGCAGTCCTGCCGCCACGCCATCACTCGCTGGGAGGACAGCACCATCCACTCACACCTGCAGAACATCACGTACCGGGACGGCCGGCTGCGGGTCAACCAGGCAGGCAAATACTACGTCTACTCCCAGATCTACTTCCGCTACTCCCGCGATGGGGCCGGCGCCCGTGTCTCAGTGCCGCAGCTCGTGCAGTGCATCAACTGGAAGACCTCCCACAGCCAGCCCATCCTTCTGCTCAAAGGGGTGGGCACCAAATGCTGGGCACCCGAGGCAGAATACGGCCTCCACGCTCTCTACCAGGGGGGACTGTTTGAGCTCAAGGCCGGTGATGAGCTCTTCGTCTCCGTCTCCTCACTGGCCATTGACTACAACGATGCAGCAGCCAGCTATTTTGGGGCCTTCCGGCTCGACCTGTGACAGCCTCCTTATCCTCACACCTTCCCTCTGCTCTTGCTGGATTGACTCTTCTGCATGGCCTAGGGCAGAAGCAATTTGAGCTGCTGTTGTGTGCAGCTCTCCTCATGCTGTTGCCTTCCTCTGTGTGGGACAGCCAGCCAAGTGGCCAGCGGTCCAGCTGGGCCTGGCATAGTGTAATTCCCTGCATCTGCTGTGCCTGGTGGGAGTCAGCTGGACCTGGGCGATTTGGCACAGGGAGCACAGAGCAGAACACACTTCTACCAAGAGCCACACCACTAGGGTGCCTTGTAACCACTTGCTGTGCATCTGTGTGCCCCCCACGCCATCAAGGCGGAAGCACAGAGGCCACAATGTCAGACTAATCCTTCTCATGGCAGGACCACCCCCCTGCAAGTCTGAATCCAGATTTGGCACATGCAGGCAGCAAATCATAGCCAGCCATGCTGCCAAGCTCCCGGATCTTGAGCTGGAAGTACTGGGGCGGAAGTCAAGGTTAGCAAAGAGCAGTGGTATGAGGAGCATGGCTGCAGGGCTGCCCACCACCCCATGGCCAAGCAGCCTGCAGGCACAGGACAGATCCAACACCAACTTCCAGGAAATAGTCAAGGAGTTTCAGTTCAGATCAGTTAGAAACCTCATCTGTGCCAGCAATCAGCTTCTAAGGAGGCAAAGAGCAGGGTCATAACGTTACAATAATTACCACCACAAGCAGCTGCACCCAGGCACATGGCAGAGATGCACTCCTTGCCCAGGTTAGACTCAGCATCAGCAGAACCCAGCATGTGGCACATCCAGAGCAGCATCTTCTCCCTGGAGAGAGCTGAGGAGCTGCAGACTTGCAAGACTGGCACCTTGGGCTGGTTCTTAGCAGGATGGAACAAACAGCAGCACATACAGCACTCCAGGTGCTTCTCTGTCGCCCACACAAACCCCTAACGGCGAGGAAGGGACACTGAACCAGCTGTGCCCAGGGTGCAATGTGGTCCTCAGCAACTTTTCACAAGCCTCATGTGACAGCAATGAAAATGCAGAAAAGCGGTGCCCCAGCCCCTTGGTGCTGAGCAGGGCCAGCAATCCACATGCTGGAGACAAGCTGCGCCACCTTGTGGGGCAGCCCACATGCACAGGACCACCAAGATGAGGAGCTTGACATCTCGCCTCCCTTTGCTTCTGACCTACCATCCCTTTCTTTGGGATTTTGCTTCTCCCAGCACTTTTGGGCAGCAGAGCCACTCTTTGCTCACATCAAGTTGTCTCCCTCCAGGATTGCTGCCCAGGCCACGCTTCAGCTCAGGCAGTAGTGGCACAGGACCCAGGACAAAAGCAAACCCCTTTTGCTAAACCTCCAGGACACATCAGACACAAAAGACAGGTTCAAGCAGAGCAGAGCATGATAAAGCTGGCTGGGCCCACGGACACTGTGTGGACATAGACCACTTTGATAACTACTTGTATACTCTGTATCATATTATGAATGTTAATGTACAGGGACAGACCAGCAGCACAAGCTGCCACAAAGGACACAAACACCCCTCCTGCCAGCACAGTTCTGGGGGGGGGTCTCAGTGCGGCTTTCAATAAATCCTGTACTCCAGACCTGGCCTTGCACCTCTGTGCAGCAGCCTCAAGGTGGGTATTTAGTCATATACCGTTGCATAGTAATGCTGCTGGTCCAACCAGACAGCAGGATGTCCAGGCCAGCACACCCACCTGCTCTGTGCTAGCACACTGCAAAGCACTTGAGTGCTGTGCAGACTCTCACTGCAGAGCAGCTGTATGTGTTTTTCCACTGCATTCCTTGCTATAGCACACGGCCCAGCAGAGGCTTTCTGCAGGCAGAGTGTGGCACAGGCTGGGCACAGAAGGTTGGTTTGCCCACTGCAGCCTGCAGAGTTGTGGTCCCAGCCCTGTTCCCTGCACAGCACCTGCAGCAAGGCACCAGGAGTGGTGAAGCAGCTCAGTGTTGAGTGAGAGCTGCGAGTGCCAAGGACGCCTAGGGGAACAGGTGCCTGTGATTCCCAGCAGCTCCAGCCCTGCAACTTGCAGACAGTGAAGGCTGCAGGCAGCAGTGGGGTCATGTCTCATCTTGCATCACCAATGGCTCCACAGCACAGGCTAAAGTCATGCCAAGGCAGCTGCACCCTCTCCCCATGAATGCCCCAGGCTTTCCCAGAGAGACACACCTCTGCTTCCAAGCCTGGTGCATTCCCTGCCAGGGCCAGGTGTAGCTCCTGCTGCAGCCCTGCATGCTGGCTAAGCTCAACTGGGCATTCAGCCCCCAGCCCTGCTGAACTGGGAAAGGGAAGGGCTCAGACGTGGTGCAGGAAGCACACTGCTCCCATCAGCAGTTGTCCAGAAGAAGCGGGAGTCGGGACATCCCTCCCAGCTGCCTGGGGGAGTCCTCATTCTGCTCCTCTTTGCTTTTGGATTGCTGAGCCAGCTTAAGACTTCCAGAGCCTAGGATGGCTCAAGCCCACCCAGTCCAAGACCCAGGGAGCTGAGATGGGCTTTTTCCTCTTCCTGCCAAGGCCAGGCAGGAGCTGCTCCTTGCTCCTGCTGTCCACCCCCCCGTCTTTTCAGGCCTAAGCTTTCTCTGCATCATCAGTTGGGGCTGGGATCCACTGCAGAATGAGCCAGGGCACTCCCTTGTCTCTCTCTACATCAGGAATGTGATCTCTCCCCCCCACAAGCAGATGTTTACCTCCCTCTCCCCTACCCTGCCAGGCCAAGGAAAAGAGGCTGATAACAAAAAAACTGCCCAGCAGCAATCCTGTGGTCTGGTAACCCATGCTTCCCTCCTCCACCCTGCCTGCTCTGCATCACCTGGCCCCTAACGCACTGTTCTCTGCCTGACAGCTCTGCTCTGCACCCAGCACCCTCCACACCCAACATGTCCCTTTCCCTCTGCTGTGTCCAGGCAGGGCTCAGAGGGGTGCAGCCCTGCTCCAGCCCCAGCAGCCTCTCCCTGGCGCTGTGCAGGAGGCGAGGCTTGGCGGTGCTGCATCTTAGTCATGTTTTGCTCTTGTCCAACACAAACAAAACACTGAGGCCTGCAGTCCAGCTGGATTACGCATAAGACTGTTATGCGAAGATCCCCAAACACAGCAGCCCTCATTGCATCATTCAGTCTAGTTGATTCCTGGTGCTAGTTAAAAGCCCTTCCTTCGAAAAGTACCTTGCAGTTCTCATCTTTGCATGAGCTTGGTGAGCAGCAGCAGCAATCAGCCTCCGAGGGCTCTGCCAGGAAACAGAGCAGGTGGTTCAAAGGTTGTCTGTGAAACATACCTGAGCTTTCCCCCAGCATGGAGGGGTAGCTAGATTATTGTTTTTCATGCAGCATCCAGGAACTAACAGCACTCCAGGTAAACCTTCCTGTTGCATGACCTGGGACAGCCGAGTGCCAAGTGAGGCAAGGGGCTGCTGCACTGTCCACTAGCTGCTTTTGTAGAAGATAAACTGCATGGCCAGCTGGCAGCCTCACCAGAGTGGCGAGAGCCAGGCAGTACTGTGCAATGAGAGAAACTGGTCAGGAGAAAACAGGTAACTGGCACAATAGGGTGTAGCTTGGCTCTGGTTTGGGACTGTCAAGGTCTCTGCTCTGCAACATCTATGGCTCTGCAGCTTTTCCGGTGCTTGTGTGCGCGCTCCACAGGGCTCAGCCATAGGGAGAGGGTTGGAAGCATCCCCCAGAAATGGAGCTGTTGCCAATAGCACCACTGAAGCTGTTGGGTAGACCAAGCCTGCAGCCACACACTGCAGGAGACCAGGCTCTGATGGAGAAGTCCCCACACTGCTTCACCTCCACAGGGCCCTGGGCTGTATCACTGCCTTTGCCAGCACTGACAGCCTGGAGCTCAGGGAGCAGGGAGGTGGGCCAGCTGTTTCTGCTGTCTCTGGAAAAGTAACAGTGACTTTGCCCAGGCCCTCCAGCCTTCCCTTCACACATTACAGTCATGGAAAGCTGCAGCAGCCATTAGCAGCATGGTCCAATTGACCCTCTCTGCTTCTCAGTCCACCAACCCAAAGTGATGTTATCAGCAAGCATTTGTTATCACCAGATCTCATCTGCTTCGGGGCTTATTTCTGGTGCCACCGTCAACACCAGCCAAAGACCTTGATTGACCCCGTGTCACAGATTTTACACCAAAAATCCTATACATGCCTGTATACACTGTGTGCCTGGATAAACACGCAGATCATTTACCACCTAGCAGCACATACATAATACCGTCTGTACCATTACTCATCTGCTTGCCTGTGGCAGTGTTACTCTGCCCAGCAGTGATTTCTTCCTGCAGAGCAGGGGCAATGTTGGGCGGGTGCCGGCTGCGTGCCTGCCTGTGCCTCTGTGGGGAAACCACGGCTGCTGGGAAAAGGATTGCTGCTAAACCTCAGTGCCAGCAGCCCAGTTACAAAAGCACTCCAGTAATGGAAAAGAAACGTGCCTTTCCCATTCCAAAGGCAGAAGGACTAGCACAGACACTCTCCCCGAGTGCCACTTCAGGTTTCTGCCATCACAGTGCAGAACTGCACAGAAAACCCTGCACCTCAAACTGAAGCACTCTTGAAAACACTCCAAAAACTTTCACTGAGTAAACTCACCACTGCACCAGCACAGAACCCTTCCCCCACCACAACCCCCTGCACCACAGCCTGCTGTGAGCAGTCTGCCAGTTGGCATATCAGAAGCCTCTCCTGCCCTTTTCCAATGCCTTAAGAAATACGGGGGGACAGAATGACAGCTCTAATAACATGCTCAGGATGACCTTAATTCTCATGGCTTCACTGTGTTTATTTGATCTGGACACATATTCCTTCCTTGTAGCGCTGCCAAAGTAAGGTCTTATCTTCGCTGTCTTGAAGCTCTGCTCTCAGTTCATTGTGTGGCTGCACAGACAGCTCAGACAAACTTGCCAGACAGACCAGGACCTTTATAAAGGTAGCCTCATTGCCCTTTATCTCTAAATAAGTTCTGGGGCTGAAATTGCTATTATTTTTTTGCTGTTGATACTGACCAGTTCATCACTACATCCAAGTCCTTTGTTCCATTCCAAACAAGATCTGCTTTTATTTTCAAGTCCCGAGCCC